GAGAACTACCCTTTGGCAGCCAAGAACATAAAGAGATACAGAACTCCAAACACATGGTTGCACATGCCCTGAGAGGAAGGGAGTAGGTTAAGCATAGGTCTTGAAGTCTAGCAATTCTGGGTTTGAACTGGGGATCCACTACTTACTAAGTGTGTAACTTTGGAAATACCTTTTAACCATATTAAGCCTCAATTTTCTTATCCATAAGTTGGAGATAATAAAATGTACCTTGCAGATCAGTTTTGAAGATTAGACATAATATATGTAAAATGTCTTGTAATGACAGATCCTTACTAAATGGTAGCTCTGATGACAATGACTTCTGTAGTCTGTACTGACAAATAGGGTACACCTAATTTAACCAGAACTACTTGCTCTATAGAGTTACCTCAAAGTACACTTTTATATACCATGTACTTTTCAGTTGTGTCCTCTAGTGTGGCTGAAAATTCCTAGGTTTTGGGAGAGAGGTTTAAATTATTAATTGACTAGCTTAATATGTATCGTCACAAGCTGCATAAATAATCTTATGAAGAAAGAACATTAACAGCTACGAGAATATATATGTATATTTTATAAGCATAAGACCAATTGCAGGTACCTTATGGATAAGAGGCTCTACCATTTGTATTTCTCTAGAGGTAACAGCGATAACTTTGGAATCACTGAAGGCAGCACCCCTAGACATGGGTGTAAATACCTTAGAATCACTTGCGGGAGGCACTCTTAGGAGGACATGTCGTCTGAGTCACTGAGAATGGTTTCCCTTAGACGGATGTATAGGAAAAGGGAGCATTGTCAGACCCACTCTTTACAGTTATAATGGAAAAACCACTTGCTCCCTAATGTGGATCTTTGGGAAAAGAATGCAGTTACTTCCATCACAGAATCTACAAAGTAGAAGATGACACTGTTAATTGGAATCAGCACTTGAGGGTGGCCTGATGTGCTGTGATGAGTCTGTGATGTGCTGTGATGAACCAGAGAACTGAACTGGGGGCCTATGGAGTAGGTACCCATAGTTCCCTTAGCATTGGTGGGCGGGGATCAGCCTCCTTAGCAGACCGAGCAGCCTGTGTGAAGATCTCGACTGAAGTGATATGATCTCAGGGTTGGCCAGAATCATTAGACGGTGCAGGGCCAGGCTTCAACAGTGCCAATGTGTGACAACAAGAGCCATGGTAGACTGATTAGACCTAATTCTCATATCACTTGAATGTGAAAATAGGACCAACCCTTTAGATGAATTCTAGAAGGGGGGTGCATTTTGCAACCCCCAATGTAATAGTGACTTAGTCAAGCCCATCAACTGATACTAAAACCATTAGGCAAAAGGTTTTTGGGGTAATGGCACATTTCCATGTTACATAAGTATTGCCCCAAGGTTACTTATGAGTTATAAAGGTGAAAATGTATGGTCACATTGGCAAGATCTAGTGGTCAAACTTAGCACCACTATTACTGGTGAAATACTTGGCACTATGTGCCTCCAAGTATGATACAAAAGAATGTAAGATATTTGTGAAGTATTCTTGCCAAATGTGATTAACCAGGATCCGGGAAAGCCTTTAGATCAAACTTCCAGTTTACAGGAAATATGGGGATGGAGGAGTATAAACAGGACAAGAGAAAAATAATTACACAGATTCAGAATATGGGACATTCTACAGGTCAATTGTCCTGGACTCTTTAAAAAGTCAATGTCATGAAAAATAAGTGTATGCTCTAGACTAAAATGCTAAAGAGGTATATCAACCAAATGTGATGATTTGGAAAATAAAATGGCTGCAGAAGTAAACTTGGAAACAATTTTAAGAAATTGAAATATGAGCCAGATATCAGATGGCATTAAGGATTATTGTTAATTTACTTAGCAGTGATAATGGTATTATAATTATGGAAGAGTATATTATCATTCTAAGGAGATAAATTTTGAAGTATGTGGACATAAAGTGTTTTAATTATTATATCTTTTATAATTTAAGTATTATAATTTAATACTTTTCACATATACAGAGAGAAAGCACATAGAGAAAATGTCAGTAATCACTGATCATAGGTGGAGGGTATTAGAATGTTCATTGTCCTATTCTTTCCATGCTTCTGCATGTTTTAAAATATTCATAACTAAGAGTTAGTGGGACCCCAGCCAGCCAGCGTAGATGGTTGGAGCATTATGCTGTACACCAGAAGTTCAATGGTTTGATTCCCGGTCATGGCGCGTACCTATGATGTGGATTTGAACCCCAGTCAGGGCATGTATGGGAGGCAACTGATTGATGTTTCTCTCTCTCACTGTCTCTCTCTCTTTCTCTCTCTCTTTCTGTATCTGTCTCTTTCCCTTCCTCTCACTCTCAAATCAATGGACATATTTTTGGGCAAGGATTTTTTTTAAAAAAAGTTAATGGGCAAAAAGAAGGACTGAGAGACTCAGAGGTTGACACTAGACTGTGCTACCAAGACATGACGATTCAAAGATTTACTGGAAAAACTACAAGATGCGACATAGTTGTAGAGCATCATCGTGGCACAGCAGCTCATTGTGGTTTCAAAAATAGCAGATAGCCTGTTCACTTAGAACGTCTGGGGTGACAGAGAGGAAACCTAGCTAAGTATCAATACCATAAATACCCCAGGAGAAAAGTTGGTGCTTAGATATGGGAGGCTTTCTCATCAGCAGATAGTCCTTCATGGAGGCAGGGAGACTGATCTGAAGACACACTGATAATTGACAAGACTATTAGTTAATATTCATTTCCAGGCAGAACTTACAGTTGGAGGGCTGTTGAATCTTTGGTTTGCAGGAGTCTGGAGGGTGCACAGACTGTTCGCATTGCCTTTGTCAGGAATAGGTTGATTTACTTAATTCAAGATCTTACTGTCTCGACTTCAGCGCATTTGTTCAGCAGCTGTGGAGGAGGACGGCTGGGCGCCTGCGGCTCACATCGTGGCTCATCCAGCTGTCAGCCTGATTTCTTCTGCAGATAGATGTTTCAAAATGACTGTGTGTGCTTCCTGCTTTGCCAGCCTGCACGGAGTCTCAGCTTTAGAACTGGAAACACATTTGATTCTTATCCTGGGGTTCATAGAGTCCTCCTTTGGTGACTGTGGATGAGTTTCTGGGATTCCATAAGCCCCTTTAAAGAGTCTCCAAAAATCTAAGCTTCCCCACCCCCCGCGCTTAAGGTTGACTAGCTTTCAAAAGAGTCTGATAAACGGTTAGTTATAACTCGAGAAATTTAAGAGCCACTGATTTGATCCAACCTCTAAACCCTGCATAACAGAGAAATTGAAACAACAAATTAGGATAAAAAGCAGTTTTAGAAATTTTGGAATGTCTGTATGCTTTACAGAACTGACCTGGTTTTCTGTCACAGCAGACTGAGCTAATGGTCCAGGAAAATTGGTTGAATGAAATAGAGCCACTAGGGAGCCTTTGGTGTGGGGATAGAAACCTAAATAGCAGAGACAAGTCTGGTTGAAATCCCTAAGAAGGCAACATAATTTAGGAGCAGCCTCCGCAGTTCCCAGAAGCCAGTACATGGCAGAGACCAGGTTGATTTTTTGCATGGTTTATATCTGAGCTCTGAAAAAGAAAATATTCAGAAATATCTATGTCAACAGATTTCATCCCTCTACCCACTTTCCTCCCCATGTTTTGCCTAAAATCCTGCGCACGTCCCTCCTTGGACATATTTCTATGTCACAGTTTTACCCAGAACACTTGAGTTGCTTTCTTCTTATCACAGAACAAAGTCCAGATTCTAATCTGGCACCTATACATAAAATGATGAGTCACTTTTCCCCCCATCTGGGACAGGAGAGTAATAATGCTAATTTCATAGATGTGTTGAGAAGATTAAGTAAATGTAAGGGGTTGTTAAACTTTCCCACAAATCTCCAGTGTGAGTACTCTGCCCTGGTCAGGTTGGTTTCTTGCTGTTACAAAGCACGGCTTCATAGTTTTCATGGCTACACCTTTGCTCCTCCTGAGGCTCCAGCCTTGGAAATGCCTCTCACCTTTTGTCTTCTTTAGTCCCTGCCAGGCTACAAAAGTTTGTTCCTTCCTCTTAATCCTAAGAGCATTTCTAGTTTGTTCTATGCAGAATCTCAGAGTCCAATTCCCTATCCAAGTGTGGGAAGCCATCCACACACTGCCTTCTTGGTGGCTATTTTGCTTCAAGTTGAGTACTTTCAGTGTTGATGAGCTAAATTTGGGCTGCTCATCTTCATTTTTTCAACAGCTCTAATTAAATAACTACAACATGTAATTATATTCTTAGTCATGACAGCCTTGCCTTTTTAATAAAATTTTCAGTTCTTCCAGGGGAACAATATAGCTGCTCAAAAGGCATTGATTGTATTTATGCCTAAAATTACAATTTCACGACATTAGTAGTTAAGCCATTGCTACCACTTTTATTATCTTTTCTTCCATGTTCCCTTCCTCAGAGGAGGCAACTTGCCATTGCAGGATGTGTGACTTTTGTGACGATGCTTAGAACAGGTCTCTGAACAGAAAGAAGGCAAAGAAAACCTTCCTGGCTGATGTCTATTAATACTTAAACTAATTCTTCTTAGGCTACTTTGAATTACTTTTAAACAGTATTTGAATTTTTGGAAAAATATTCTGTTGCAAAACTCTTACTCCTTTTTTTTCCTTTTGGTATATTCTTTCAGTCTTTTTACTATTCTTATACAAATATATCGATATCTGCATACCTAGTTTAGTTTTTGCAAAAATGGGGATTAGACCACATATCTGCTGTTAGAGACTTAATAATACACCAATGCCATCCTTTCATGTCAATATACAAAGATTTAATTATTTCTAATGGCTTCATGACATGGCATAATTGATCTGTATTTCTTTTCCTATTGATCAACACATATACTATTTTCAATTGATTCTTGAGCTCTGATTTCTTTACCTGAGAATGCATTAAAAAGATAAATTTGATCACATTTCTACTCACAAATTCATCCAGTGTTCAGGGTTGAATTTTTTTGCACCACCCCCACCCCAATTCCTATGTTGAAATCCTAACCCTTTGTACTTCGTGGTGTAAGCTTATTTGGGTAATAGGGTCATTGCCAGTGTAATTAGTTAAGATCAGATCATACTGGACTAGGGTGGGCCCCATATTGGTGTCCTTATAAAAAGGGGAAATTTGGATACACACAATACACAGGGAGAACACCATGTAAGGATGAAAGCAGAGATCAGGGTGATGCTTCTATAAGCCAAGGGACGCCAAAGATGGCCGGAAAACCTCCAGAAGCTAAGAGAGAGGCACGGAACTCGGTCTCACAGCCCTGGGAAGGAACCAACCCTGCCAACACCTTGATCTTGGACTTCTGGCCTCCAAAAATGTGAGACAATACATTTCTGTTGTTTAAATCACCCAGTTTCTGGTGTTTTTAAAAGGCAGCCCCAGCAAACTAAACTTTGGCAAGAAACCAAATGTTACAGTGTTTCATTCTGGTTAGAGCTTCCAGGCAGCCCTAGCTGCATGGGCTGCGTCTCCAGCATGGACCCCAGTTTTGAGAATGAGTCTTGGCTACTAGCACCTTTATCTTTACCTTCCTTTCCCATTGGCTTGGCCTGCCCAATATTTTGAAAATGGAATGACTGGCATAGTTTTCTGCAAGCACCTTGTCTGTGTTAATCAGTATGCACCTTTATGTTACATACACGATATTTAATCATGCGTTGAAATGGGTTTTTAGTGCTTGAGACAAAGAATATTGGGGGGCAACAGTCCATGATTTTGAGTGAAGGAAGGCTTTTCTAGGATAACACAGTATCTATCCTAATGGTACGTTGTAAGAGAATGACTGTTATACAGACCAAGGCTTCTGGTAAATGACTTACAGTATAAGAAAGTAATGTGCTGAATGTTTGGGAAGAGGCTAAGCTAACAACCAGACTTCAGGAAGGGTAAAAAAGAAAGAATTACTGAGAACATGTTACTGATAAGGGTGTGATCACCTGGACCTTTATATGGCAAGCCATGTTCTGGCTTCTTATCAAAGAGGGTAATATAAACAAACACATTAGTTCAGAGAACTTAGTTGTCATCTACCTCTCTTGATATCTCCTTCAAGAAAGCCCTACAAAGGTCTAAATCTGACATTTTTGCCAGCAAATGATGGTTGACCTGATTTTCCAGGAAATTGAAGACACATGGTTGAATATAGTATGGGTTATAGAAACATGTGTATTTATGGAAAGGAACAAGGTGCTTGCAGAAAACTATGCCAGTCATTTTCAAAATATTGACTAGACCAGGCCAATGGGAAAGATAAAGACAGACGTGCTGGTGGGAGCAAAGCCTCATTCTCAAAACTGGGGTCCCTGCTGCAGATGCAGCCCCTGAAGCTGGGGCTGCCTGGAAGCCCTAACCAGAGGGAAGCACTGCTACATTTGGGTGCTTGTGAAATTAATGTTCCTCTTACCTGAAGTGTCTGTCTCTGCCTGATTAGTTAAACCTTCCCTGCCCTTTTGGGTACATTCAGTGGAGCCTTCTCCACCGAGACATCCTTGTCCTGAGTCACAGAACATTGTCACTCCCCTGAACCTCTAGACTCTCACTTCTCATATTCTATTCCTTAGACAATTAGATGGTAATTACAAGACAGTACATAATTACATTTCATTACAGCTAGATTTAAAACTCCACATGGCAGGGACTTTGCCACTTTATTTATCTTGACATACCACTGGCACATAGCAGGTACTCAAATTATTTTTTGAATAAAGAATTGCATGTATATATGTTCTGCATTTTTCTTCTCACTGTTATTTGAAATTAAAATATTTGTATGCTCAAGGACCATTGTTCATTCTTTCTGGCAGGAGCTACAAGCAGAGTTACTTACTGAGGGGTGGGATTGAGCCCGTTTTTCCCATCCCTCATCATTCTCAAGGCCGGTCCAATAAAAGATCTTAATAATATACTTGAAAATGGATTATGAAAGCATGCCTGCTATATCTTTAGTGTGAAGACAAGTTCCTCATGTGTCTCGTATCCAGGGAAATTGCTACCCTTACGCTTTTTCTACTCAGAAATTCTAGAGCTGCCACTGTCTTTTTTATATCTCTTAATAGAGGGGTCTAGTACTCCGATGCATATAAGGCTTTCCAGGTGATGCTAGTGAGTGAAGGGAACCACATGGAAGAGAGAGAAGGAGTGGTGGGGACCGTAGTATATCAGAGGGTACACGTTCCTTATAAAAAGGCAGCCAAGGTACCATGATTGAGGTGATTATTGTCATGTGGGAATATAGGTCTCATGTTACTAGTTCAGATTTTTCAAGACAAGACAGGAATATGGAATTAGGTGGGAAATGTGTCCGTTTTTATATCTTTCCATTTTAAAAAAAAACACCATGCTAGCCACCAACACCTCTTCTCTGCTGGTGAGGCATGGCCCGCAGGCCACCAGTTTGTAATCTCCATGGACTGAGTCCTAAGCAATCACCTCTGTGTGCCCCAGCAGTTCTTGGCATGAGGATGGTAGAGATGAAATGGAGGCAAATAAATGCACAAGGAAGTCCAAGACATATTTTGAACTACTGAAGTTTTTCTTTTTTTATTGCAAAACGTGTGTTACAGAAATTTCAGAAAGTTTTTCCTGTGGTATCTGCTAACTTCTGCTTCGAATTATATATCTAAACAAACAAGCTCAAAGTGCATTGTGAATCCAATAATAGACCTTTAAAAAAAAGAACAATTCCTCTAAGAATTGATATATATTTATAATGTCGATAGATATGCAAACCGCTGCTTATCCATACATAAAGGAGGAAAAGATGTATATATATTTAACAAACCCAATTTCAAAATTGTTTTATTTATAGGAATTCATTTAAAAATGATATTTTAATAATTTCCCCATTACAAACTATGGTTAGAACATTTACAAATGAGAGTCTAAATTCTATGTTATGAAACAGCAATGAGTACAGTTACTGCGTGTACTCTTTTTTTGAACAGCAGGAGCAACAATATAAACTCAGGTCAGATGCTGTAGTGACAGGAAGCAGAGAAGCCTGACACGATGCTACGGTACTGTTCTTCTTCTGAATCTCCCTCACAAAGATCCTGCATTTGCGTTCAGAATAATGTGGCATATATCATTCGGAACGGTAAGCCCCTGAATAGGGCGAGTTCCTCTCCCCCACCTCAGTTCTCAGTGTGTTTTGTATATATGCTAACTAAGTTGGAATCAAGAATATGATCCCAGTTGGCTCGAAATCAGAGGTCCCAAGCTATTGCCTTTGGGACTGAATGCTGCTGGCAGGTACATTTGTTTGGCTAGCACAGTGTTTACAAATGGGAATGTGAATGTCTTTGTAGAGGGACGTGTGTTCTCTCCTGCCCTACAAACCCCACTTCTTCCTGCTGTCCCTTACCAGTCCAACCTGCACACTTGTGGTTCCGCACCCAGCCTCTCCACCTATTTGACTTTGCAAGCCCACAGTCCAGATGCAGATGGCTGATTCTGATGACCTGCAGGAAGGTGTGCTGGAGGTGTGAAGGACCCTTTTGGGATTCGGAGAGGCAAAGAATTGGTTGCAGCTGAGGGAAACACCAGCCAAGTTGGTTGTGTGGGGTAGAGCTGGGGGAGGAAGCTAAGTTAGTGGGAAGATTAGGGCTGGAACATAGTCTGAATGTTTGGCTTTTTCCACGAAGTAGCCACTATTTCAGTTTACTGTGCCAGGGTCCATAGGGTATTGAGGTAATGGGCCCAGGGTCTGTTGGTCTGGCCAAAAAAGCATCTTGTGCTACACTGAGAGAAAGGAAGAAAGTCAAGGGCGTGAGGGAGATTGCACTCTAGGCACGAGGCTGAACTTCCACTGTGTCCCACAGCTCTTGGCAGCCTGCCTCTGCCTCTGCCAGGGCAAGGCCTGGGCCAAGTTTCGTGATGACACTCCTCAGAAAGCCTATGGATATGTCCTTTTCCAAACATTGTGCAAACAGGCAGTGGTCTGGAAGTAAGGCAGGGAAGAGGGAAGTTCATCTCACTCTTATTGCCATGTAGATTACTCGGCCAATGAAATCCTTAGACAATGTGTACAATAGAAATTGTCATTTCTTGATTTCATTTGCAGTGATCAGTGCAAGGGATTCAACAGATAAAAGTTAACACAACTACCTTCTCAGATAAATTTTAAAAAAAGGAAAAGAAAAAAAAATCTTGTTTTCCTTATATCAGAACCAACCGCTCCTTTGGTTGACTCTACTAAGAGAGAGAGAGAGAGAGAGAGAGAGAGAGAAGTAAAAAGAAAACTTGGGCCAGCGTAGGTTGAGAGAAAAGTTTTCTCTACTCTTTTGAGGAACAGTCCTTTATAAGACTGTGCAGATTGGCCCCTCTCTTTTCCAGGTGTTGAATGGCTTCTAATAATGAAATCGTGATTTCTTTAAAGGGCAAACTCTTCAGAGTCACCCAGTGCTCAATCAGACTCCCAGTCACCCATCTCTCACCTGCCCCCAGGGCAGGCTCACCACAGGAGACAAGCTACCATGTAGGAGGGCAGTCATACGCTTTATCGCGGGACCACTTATTCACGATGATCTGTGGATTTCTGCACTGTCATCAACGGACTTCTCACTCTCATCTCTGGTTTAGCAATTTGTACCCAGTGGCCCTAAAGAATCAGAAACACGTCTTTCATATATCACAGATGCACCGACACCTAGACCTTGGTGAACCCAAATGGCGTTGGCTAGCGTTCTCCAGGTCCCATAGCTATACACTTTGTTGTTAATACTTTATTTCATATTATTTGTTCAGAGCTTAAAAACAGATTTAAAAAAAAACCCTTGGTTACTCTTTTTGTTTTTAATTTTTAAAACTTGAACATAATCCCCAAACAGTGTAAGAAGCCCAACAATTTGAGTGAATTCCTAACTCGTTTAAGTGTCACAGCAGGCAAGAGTAAAATGTGAAGTGTCTTTAAAAAGTCAAAAGAAATGCATAAAGCAGTGCATGCATTATGTTGCCACAAAATTAAGACTGGGTTTAGAGTGGGATTACTTCATTTAAGTCACATTGCTATTGTTCAAGAAGAGTGAGTTATAATGCAATATCTAGAACAAGTATATTACCACTTACACATTAGCATCACTTTATCTAGAAACAGAGTAGTGTTACTAAATGAGCATATTTATAAAATACTGTACACTGCTTCCACATTGGGCCAGCAGATGTAAACAAAGAGCTAGTTAAACTGGAGTTTAAAATATTATTTTAGGTTCATTTGTCAGATAGTCTTTTGCATAACATGCCAGTTTGTCTTTCACAAAATTGCAACGTGCCTATCACAGCTTGCAGGGCTGGTTAGAGGCTGTACATCAGCTTATACAAATATTTTACAGTGGTCTACAGGAAAGTGAAAAACAAAGCAGACCAGGAACAAAAGTGCCCATTTCACGAGGATGCTAAATAACATGGAATTGGGGACATAATTAATCCTTGCAACATGTGCTTCTTTATTGAATGTTACAGATTTGTAATGATTATAAAGCTGTCCTGTAACGTTCATTAATACAACCACATGCTACAATTATGCTCAGTTAAACACGGGTTACATATCTGTTTACATGTATTTTATTATACAGCATTGCCCAACACATTGAATGGAATAGCCTACAGATATAGCATGATGGATGACTGGATAATATTTATTATCATTAAAGAAGTTAAACAGCCCAGAAATTCAGGAAGATTAGACTGTACAGCCTCAGAAAGTAGAATAATGCACTATCCAGTTATCTACCATAATGTTATCTATAGAAACCATCTTTTAGAATACATTTGAAACATTCAGAAGAAACACATTTTGTGTTTTTACAAATACATTTTCCCCATTTGATTATTCTTATATATATATTTTCAAGAGGGAACTTTCAAAGTGCTAAGTAATATGTTAGACCTAGAAGCCTAGAGTTAAAAAAAATCCAGTTCTGTAAAGTGCTGCATTCTGACCGCTAATACACTGTCTGGCTTGGAGAAATACACAAACTAGCCATCACAATGACCCCCAAGCTTTCCAGCTCCTCATTCAAATCCATTAAGGAGGGCATTTCTCACTATAAATATAAGGTATGTTGGTTTATCAGGAAATTTTCATGGTCATTTTCATAAAACATCCTTAATTTTTCAAAAGGACCAGGCAATTTAGAATGAATCATTACCTATAGTAGTATATAAAAATTGGCACCTTAGAAGCAGATGATTAAACCAAAGCTATTACTTCCTTGAGTTCTCTGAGTTCTCTATAACTTTATTTATGTTCCCCAATAACTTGCTGCTCATGAGCTGCTTAATTCACAGAGACAGATAATTAACATCCCCTCGATCAGGGACATGGTGGAATACATGAGCTGCACACAAGCTGACTGTACAAGGCCACAGAATCGATGCCCCATCGGTGGGCAGAGGATCCAGAAACAGAAAGAAATGGATTGAAACATAACACACATGTATGCGCACAGGAAGGAAATGGCTCACAGAGGTTACACAGTTTGTGTTTAAAGTCATTTAAATTTGGCTTATACATTTCATTAAAATAAAGTAAGAACTTTATTTTCATGCACAACAACAACAAAAATAGGTAGTCACAAGGTCAGGACTGTTAAGTACTTTGTTTCCCAGGTCCTGTTCTGTCTTTTCCAGAAATCGCAATGAATGGAAACACCCAGCCTACTACTTTCTTTCCCCCACTTTGTCTGGTCCAGAATAAGGCCCTGGAGGTGCTGTGATGTCCTGCTCTGTGGTCAAAGAGTAATGGTTTCACCTCCTTCTTGGATTCCTCTACAGAGAGCCTTCCTGCTTTGTGAGTGTGCTCTGTACTTATAATCATCAATATGTTAGGATGTAAGCATATCAGACTAGCAAAATCTAATCTAAGGAACATAAATTACAAAATCTTGGTTCTAACTCTGGTGTTGAGACTTGGCCTTCCTGAGAATCACAGAGAATTGGTCTCAAAATGTAAAGTGCCTATTATTACAACTGTATTGATTATGAACAAACATGGTTCCTCTTTCTCATCATCAATCAGTATGGAACCAGGGGTACAAGAACCTTTTAAAGATATATTGCAACTTTCCATATGTATATATATATTTTTTACCCTGGGGAGAGGGCCCAGAGCTTTGATCAGATCCTAAAAGAGATTCATGACTCTAGAAAGTTTAAGGGCAACTGATTTATCTCAGACCAAATGCATATATGCTTGTTTCTGACTCACCTAAATACTAAGGAGTGAAAAAGAAATCCCTTAATTCTTTATATGGGGCCTCATCACTACTTTTACACCCAAAAATCTTATTCAGATTTTTTTTTTTAAATTTAAAGGCTAAAGTTTTTGCCCATGTATTTACTTGATGTCACATAATGAGAAAATTTGGGGTTCCCAACAATCACTAAACAAAAGAACCAGTTTTTGTTTTGGGCCAGGAACATTAAATCATTTTCCTTTAAGATTTTATTTTATTTTATTTTTTTAAATCAGTGATCCAAATAGAAATCAAAAGAATTGAGGATCAAAATTTCTTTATCCCATTTCAAATCCAGATTCTGATGTAGAAGCATGTAGACCTATATTCTAGAATCCATAATACTACCTGGTTTAGAATGATGTCTGTTCAGGTTGTACTTGATGTAATCACTTTGTGCAGGAGAAATGAGATGTCATGAGAGTGACTGCTTTTGGGCAAAAAAAAGAGGGGGCAGCGCGTAGGTAGCAATTCATTCTGACAATTCTAGTTTGGTACAAGAAAATGTTAGGGTCATAGTGATTTAGAAAATCATAATTTCCACATCTCTTGAAATATAATGAATTCTTCCAATGAAATTCCTTGGATATTAAAAATTGTGGTTATACCTCAAGGTGATAGAAAAGTCCAAAGCTCCATATACCTGTTTATATACTATATATAACATGTCTCTTTGTGTAAATGTATATATATGTATATAAGCAGCATATGTTATAGAACTCTTTACATGGTTTCTTTTCTTTCTCTTTTAGTCTACTGTATTTTTTTTTAATAGCTCTGTATATAGGAAAAATACTCATGGTGTGCCTGCAGCTGATGGCTTTGGGTTGATACCAAACTCCCAGTCAATGCGAAGGTTATTTATGGTTTTGTCACTTCCTTAAAAAGTACTTTGGAACATTTCTGTAAAAAAGATACCAGCCCTTGAAAAACTCCAATTAAATTTATGCTGAGCTCAGATTAAATGGCAAAACTCTAGGTATGAAAATATCCACCAGATATTCATATACAAAATGGTCCTGTGATGAGTGGTGTGAAAAATTGGCAGTTACATCTTGGAGATGTTCAGAAGACATGGTGAGGTCATGCACATGATGAAGGTCACACAGCAGCATCACACATGACATGACTGGTGAGATATCCCATATGGCAATTTTAGGTGAGTTCTGCCCGCTCTCTTTTTTGTTAGTTCACTATTATACGCTCAGTGAGCGAATTCATTGATGACAGGTAAGATACAAAATAAATTAGAAATATAAAATTACTTAGTTACATTCATCCTGAGCTTGCTCAACTATACTTGAATGCCCACTCTATATAATAGGCCACTTGACATTTGTTTTTAACATTAATTCTTTCATTTCACTCGCAATATACAAAAAGGCATTTCTTTTCCCTTATTTTCTTCAAAAAAGATGAACAGTTGTGGCACCAGAAGTTAATATATGAGACAGGTGAACTATGACTGTTACCTTGTTCTTTCTTTATAATGATCAATTACAGAAGTGTTGGCATGAGAAGGATGTGGGACGTTAGGTAGAACTGCTTGCTGCCGGCTTATACTGAATAAAAAGGATGCTCTTCATCAGTCACCAGTGATGGAGCCAATGTGAAAAGAAAACAGAATTGAAGTTTAGAATATCTCATTTGTATGCTGGCTACTTTATTTATTTTGCAATTTAGCCCTGCATCCTAAAACTCTTGATAATGGTCAGAAATTGAAAGATGCCTCCTGCCATGAAGAATGCATGAAGTCCCTTCATTCCCAGAGCTCAACGCTTTCTGAAGTGACTAGTGATACACATTCATATCAACCCCTCTTCTCCCTCTCTTTCCCCTCCCTACCCATCAAGTGTGAGCGTGAGTTATAACCGCTGTGTTTGGCACTGGGCCAGATCAAATGCTTTCTTGATCTGTGGCCCAGAAGTCAACTTTGAGTTAACACCTCCCAAGGCATTGCTTTCTTTGCTCAGTTAAAAATAAAGCAGGTATGCTTCAAGGAATGGGAACAGGTGGAGTTTGGGGAGAATTTTAGGGCTGGATTCTGAGCCTCCTGCAGTGCTTATTAGGAAGGTTTAGTTGTGCTTGCTTTCAAAGCTGTGGAAAGCAGAGGTTCTGGACAGTCTCCTCATGGACAGGCTGTCTGCTCGGCCCTCTGGCTTGGAGGACTTACTCCTCTGGAAGGGATTTCGCAGGCTCGCTGTGTTCCGCTGCCTGTCGAGTTTGTCACTGATGGAAAAGCTCTTCCTGGTGTGTGCATATGGCGCACTTGGCTCCTCTGCTGAGTAGCTATTGGCGCGCTCTATCTTGGGAACTGTGATGTTGTTGGAAAGGGTTCTGTCTGAGTTATCGCCCTCCTGGGAGGGTATTGCTAGGGCAGCTCTCCGGCCTTTGCCCTCATTCTCCTCAGTGTCAGAGCTGGGGTGACTCAGTTCTGCTTCTCGCTCAGGATGGCAGCAAGATGAGTCCTCCACTTTGCCTCCAAGACCTCCAGGGAAGGTAGCTCTGTCAGCAATTGCTTGAGGGGCATTGACACACCTTGTGTCAATACAATCTGTAATACTTGTGTATTCTGCTGTTTTCACAGGTACCCCAAAGTTGGCATAGTAGCTCCTCGAAGGAGAAAACATAAAGCTATGAGATTTCACGATGGGGGCCTCTTCTAGGAGAAAGGGCGTGGTGGCTAGGTAGCGGCTACTTTTGGAACGTTCGATGGTGTGGTACATTGGAGGGTCAGTGTCCCACGGGTTTTGGCACTCTGGGAGGTGAGTGTAGTCTGAAGAAAAAGATCTAGTGTCCATGGAGGTGATGTCCTCAAAATCAATGCTCCGGCTTGGAGGTCTGTCTGTGGGTGCGAGAGTTGCATAGGCACTACTCGAAGGAGCTGTGGAAGGTACTTGGGCCAAAAAGCTTGGTTCGCCCAGCCCAAGGATGTTCATGGAATTGTCCAGAGGGTCTATATCACAATGGAGCTCATCCATGGCAGAGACATAGATGTCTATACATGATGATGGTCTTCTGGAATCAGGAACAATGGCCAAGGTGTTTGCAGGGGCCGCAGGAGCTTTGGATTCCTTTGCTATAGAGTGGGAACTAGTAGCCCGGTGTAGGCTCAGGGACCTTTCCTTAAAAAGACTTTCCAACTTTTCTACACCACCTTTGTCTTTCACATTGACCGAATAGAAAGAATGGCTTCGCACACGGGGCATTAGGGTTGGAGAAGTTGGGGACATGGTCTCCTCACCTGCAGGGTCTATACTCTCTTGGAGCTTGAAAGTGTTCCCCTCCTGGCTGTTGAAGCTGCTCTGGCGGACTATGTAGGCTGCGTCTGTGCAGTCCGAGGAGGTCCGAGAGCGGATTTTGTTGGACTCGGCCCGCTCCAGACCCGTCAGACGCTCCAGGGCAGTGGCCATGCGCCCAATGAGGTCCTCGAGCTGTGCCAGCCTGATATCCACGGTCTGGAGTGAAGCCTTCATGCAGTGTTCTCTCTCGTTGACTTCCTCCAGTCGCATGGACATGTTCTCCACCCTGTGCCAAGAAGAGAGAATGTGAGTCACTGCTGTTTGCTCTGCCGGAGGTTTAGAGAGCTTGGACAGGTAGGTCAAATCTGTGCCTGGACCTTGGTCATCAATGTCCTACCAGAGGGAAACCAAGAGGAAGGGTTTTTGCAGTTTTGAGGAGGGGGTAGGGAGGAGAGAAGGGCAGTGATGTTCTCATTGAGAACCGTAGGATCCAAATCTTTTTGAGCTAGAAGGGTCTTTAGAGATGATCTAATCCAGTGACTTTTAATGGCTAATCTCCTTTTACCTCAATGAACTTTAATGCACAATCCTGATAAATAAGCATCAAAGATGAATAGTTCTCATTGCAGTGGAGTCCCCCACTCTTACCACTCCCATGGTTCAGCTGTGACTTGGGACTGGGTTTAATGACCTATATATGTGTTAGGGTGTTGGCTTATCAGAGTCACCAACAAAATGAGAATGTTGCATTATGATGACTTTACCCAGAAATTTTCAAAAGAATTTTAGAATGTAGCTATTCTCATTGTAGTTTATATGGACTGGGATTATTTTATTTGCATTTATACAATAAGCATGTTGTTATGCATAATAATCCTTTTAAAGGATTTAGTGCCTCCAAAGGAATTAATGTGGTCCTGTTACTGAAGCACCTGGAGTCGATTTAATCTAATTCAATACTGTCAGTAACAAAAGAAAAACAACCATCAAGAAATTTAACCAAGATTACATAAAATAATTTGTGTGAAACTCGCAGGGGTGTCCCACCTGTGGCCTGTGGGCTGCATGGAGCCCAGGATGGCTGTGAATGCGGCCCAACACAAAATCGTAAATTTACTTAAAACATTATGAGACTTTTTTGTGTGATTATGTGTTACAATGTATTTGATGTGTGGCCCAAGACAACTCCTCTTCTTCTAGTGTGGCCCAGAGGTGCCAAAAGGTTGAATACCCCTTTGTGTCTATCAATAAGTAAATTACCCTACTCCTTTCTCTCTGTCTCTCTGGGTAGCTGATCACAGATGCTTTACATTACTGCTACTTTGAGGTGTTTTGGCTCTCCCTATTGTAAATTCTTAAGGGCATAATCTGTCTCATATTCCTGTTTCCATTTCCATGTTGCCAGCCCAGCCAATGCCTGCTAGGAATCAATACAGTTTCACTGAGTCAATCACTATTATGAACTTGATTTCAATGATCTAATAAACTACCTGGTCACTTATTTACAAAGACAGAAGCCACATGTTTAAAATAAAATTGTGCCATATTTTTCACTTGCTTAAATTAACTTGGAAAAGACAAACCAAAGCCAAGTCATGGTTTGAGCTCAAATGTTCACTTTTAAAAACTCCAAGGCAAATCTTTTGGAGAACCTGAATGCGATCCATTCTCAACTTTTCTAGAGAGGATAAAGATACTTTCCCAATATTCCTAATATGTACAGTAAATTGCTTGACTGCTGGCCTAAACTTAAAAAGAACAACTGTTGTGTACAGAATATGCTGTACAAAGAACAGTGGGAATTAGCGCGGGGTCCTTCAGCTGTGGTGCTATCGGTGGTGGTTTGTTAATGTGATGACACCTCTGTTAGGGAGGAACATCGTGTCAATGCCAGAAGGAGGTATGAGGCAGTGACTTGTAGGCTTTTTTTTTCTTTTTTTTAAACTGCTCTCCTGCTGGTCAGGGTTGAGGTGTGTGATTCCTTTGTCTTGGGGCCCATTTCTGTTTCTCTCTCTCTCTCTCTCTTTCTCTCTCTCTCTCTCTCTCGCTCTCTCTCTCTCTCGCTCGCTCGCTCTCTCAAGCCACCCAACCAACCCTGCCCAACCAAACTCACTCCATTGACTGCCCTTTTACCCTTCATCTTCACTTCACACAGCCTAAGGTTTGGGAGACATTTTTTCTTTGCTCTTTCCTGCCGCCCCATAACCAACTCAACACTGCCTAGAGTCCAGGAACACTCAGTTACAATAGTTAGGTATATTCTCAAAAGACGTGTAAATTGAGCAATTCTGCACCTGGCAAACCTGATGCTATTCACCCAGCTAACACAGCTATTTCAGAAGGAAAATACAATTTTTCCCTCTTTCACTTTGTTTTGTGGTATAAACATAGCCTGAGAAACAAATTACTTAAAATAATAAGTTTGTGTGTCTTATAGACTTATAATTTACTTTTTCATCATCTAGCTGATGGAGTTTGATTTTGCAAGTACTGCAATTTCATTTTTTGCAATGCAATAAGCTTTGGGTAAGTGAGTAAAATACTTCTTCATTAAAGTCAGGAGAAGGGCAGAGCATGCATTTCTGTAGAATGAGACTTTTTGTTTTGGATACTCTAGGTACTGGGTCCCCCTAGCTTTTTAGTGTTGGCAGAGTAACAAAAGGTAGGATAGTTTTCTTCCTCTTTCTCCTTTCCTGGAGCTTAGTGAATACAAGGTTGTATGCAAGAGATAAAGATGTTCTTTTAGCATAACTGCCTATGGTCATTGGTCTGAGCACTGTGAAATATCTCTTTGGAATGTAGGGACCCTGCTCCCCACATTTCACTTCCCTCCAATCCCAGGACCCTGTACTGCAGAGAAACTAGCAGGTGAGAGATAGAGCTAAGGCAGAAACAGGAAGCACTAAAAGGGTCATAATCTGGTTGGGGGCAGTAAATGGGACACAGACGAAGGAGCCCGAGTCGATGGGAGGAAGACAGGAGGCGCAAGGAAGAAGAGGCTCTCTGGGAAAACAGGAGGAGCCCAGTGGGAGGCTCAGGAGTGAAGTGTGGCCTTAGGAAGCAAGGAAGTAGCGGAGGAAAGCCTGCCAGAACAGGGTCAAGAAACTATTCCTCACCAAATCTTAACTCTCCTATGGGCTCTCAGGGGGTTTGGAATTAAAGACTTGGAAAAAAAGAAAAAGGAAAAAGGACTGTCTCATCCGTTTACTTCCAGGATTCAGGATGTGTGTAACAACCTAACTGTGTATCATTTAGGTCATGGATGTGATAGATAGGGGTTTAATAAAGGAGTTATAAAAGAATAAACATGCCCACAATCAAATTTCAATGTTTGTTCTATAACAAAAGTATGTCCCTTAGTTAAAAAAAAAAACCAACAAAACACTTCTTGAAAAGTTAAGTATAAATGGGCATGCATCACAGATATAAATAGTTCTGAGGAACAAACCAAGAGTTTTAGGTCATGATTGTTGCCATTAGGAGCTGACTCTGGTCCAGCTACTCAAGAGATAAAATGGAGATAAGGATGATACAAATTTATGGATCAATAAAAAGTCCCAAGGGGACCGATACTAGAATTGACTAAGGAACCAAAGAAGAGGGACTATGGAATGGAAGGTGTTGAATAGGAGGAACTCCTTATTTTTCTTTCCTCCTTCACGTGTCCAGACCTTGTATGGCTCATTTCAGAAAAACTCAGGAGGCAATCACAATAGAGATGCAACAGGGCTCAAAGATGCGAGGTGGCTCCTGCTCCTGGGAGCCCAAAAGACTGATAGTCAGGAGGGGCCCATGAATAGGCAGGTTAGTGAAACGCCCAGCTAAGAAGATGACTAGCTTCTCTAGCCAAGGCGATGAGGAAAATAATGTTCAAAAGAAGATTCTGGTGACACAGCTTCAATAGGTAACTGCTTAACTTAAGGATTGGTATTTTCCTGAAATTCATTTTCTTTTCTGATAACCTCGAAATGTGGTTAGAAGAAATATGGTTAAAGGAAGAAGATTCGGCAGGCTATGCCTGTTCTAAATTTCAGACATTCCCTCGAGTGCCCGCAGCAGTGTGGGTGACGGATGAAAGGTAGGAATGACCCTGCAGCAAGGGAGCCCAATCACGGGGGCTCTCGTGGGGAGGAAAGGGCCAACAGTAAACAAAGCCAATGATGCACAACAGCTAAAGCTAATTCTTGCTTATCCATAGGCTGATACTTAATTTATGAATTTTTAAAGTCCCTTAGGGTCATCTATCCTTCCCTTTGAGCCAATTACTCTTCTCATTAACTCTGAGAAGAAAAAGAGAGACAATCTTAAATTTAACTCAATCGATGGAGATACCAAAGACCAGCATGGGGAAAAAATATGGCAGGAGGTGCGTGAAGCTCTCTTTTTTCGGTTTACACTGTTCTGAGGTTTTTATGAATCCCATACATCCTAAATTATTCCTGTCTCTGTTTTGAAAAAGTGTACATCGAATATACTATTAATAGTCAAGTGTCTATCACTTTTTTGGATCTAGGTGAAGTGAAAAAAGGATATAAAGTCCGGTGGCTCAGGAAAGATAATTTTAGATTAAAAGATGACACTAGGAATAATGTATATCCCAGTTTGCTTAAATTGTTACTGCCAAGAAGAAAAGTCAAATTGTAACTTCTTCTGACAGGTGGAGCCTGACAGGTGGGGTGAGGAGGGTGAGGATGATCTTAAAGCTTTAAGTGAGGGGCATAAGAATTAAATGCCTATAAGCAGGGCAGATAAGTAAGTAGGTGAAGCAGGCGACACATGAGAATAGAGGCAGGGACTCTGGGGTAGCAGAGCTTGCCCAATCCAAAGGCATTCCGAATGAATTTTAAATAATCATTGCAAGTCCAACACAGCAGCCCTCTGTGGGCAGATGGTACCTGAAATTCACCAGTATGCAAACGTTGCTTTAAATCAGTGGAAGGAGCCAGTAAATAACTTCCAGCCGTGATCACCAGAAAACGTATGTAACTCTTAATAACCAAAGGGAAATTGCAAAAAATGCCAGGAGGCTGCAGATAGGAAAATGTTTTCCTGATATCCAGCATTCCTGGATTCTAGGAATTACAGGAGTTTGACATAAATCCTGGGCAGCATTAAAGAATGGGGCTTCGTCATAGGTAATTAGGCAGATGGTATCTTTTGAGTACTTGGAAGAGATAGGGTTTGTTAACAGGAGACTACATGGGCCCAATATTACTCTTGTCTGTCTTCTGATAATGTGGACTAATAGAGTGACATAGATACACGCCATATGTGGTAACGTACACTGTTCTCTTAGTGGGGGGCTGACATACTGGGCTGACTAGAGGAATGTAGATACCTGGCTGGCTAATTAACCAAACAAGAAATTATAGAATGATGGACCGATGTCATCATGAGAAGTATTTTTTGGAGTCAAGAAATATCTTGGTACTGTCTTGGTTCACCTAATCTATTCTGGTGAGCATTTTGGTGAATTATATTGAAGGCATAGTAGGTATACTTATTCAGCAAACCATGACATAGAATGGAGTGAAAAATTAATATACTGGATGATGAAATCAGGATCCAGAGTCCTTGAGGTTCTGAAATAATGAGTAAAAATGGAAAAAAAATTTTAAAAATTCATAGCAATGAATGTCAAGTTCCAATTTTAGGTTAAAAACAAACATCTCACAAGAACATACTTGTGGATATTTGAATCAGCTCAGGTGAAAAGGCCCTCATTTTAATTAATTGTAGGCTCACTCAGAACCAAAGATATGACCTGGCTGTAATAATCATAATATGAAATAAAATATGTGATCAAATAATAATAACCACCACCATTCATTGAATGCATACTATCTCATGTCATTTCAATAATGTTTAATACTCTAGGTTAGGTATTAATACTCTATTATACAGATGGGAACATAGGTCAAAGGAATTAAGTAACTTGCTCAAGGTCACATAGCTAGTTACTAGAAATTAATAATAAAATCTTTCCATTGTACTGTGTTCTTTCTTTTATAACATGAAAAGAACTACTTGTCCTATTGTACTGTATGAGTATTAGCCCAGCATATAGTAGTAAAGAAAAGAAATAGTAAAGGAATGAATAAAGGAACTAAATCTAGGCTGTAACTACAATCCACAATTAATTTCCATTTAGGTACCACATTATGGTGATCTTGACAATTTAAAGTGCATAGTGAGAGGACTTCCAGTCAAGATGGAGTGTGTGCAGACATGGCTTGCCTCTTCGCACAATCACATCAGAATTACAACTAAAATATAGAACCACCATCACTCATAACCATCAGAAATCGAGTTGAATGGAAGTCTGACAACGACGGAATTATAGAAACCACATCCATCCAGACTGATAGGAGTGGAAATGTGGAACAGGCTGGTCCCTCACTCATGTGTGGTAGATAAAAATTCATGAGGGATATCTCAGGAGTGAGGAGTCCCAGCCCCACACCAGGACCCACAGCCCAGGGTTTTAGTGCCAGGAAGATAAGTCTCAAATTCTGGCTGCAGAAACCAGCGGAGATTTTTGGTGGAAAAAACTACTGGAGTCCTAAACAGCTTCCCTTAAAGAACCCACACATGGACTCACCTACTCAGACTCACTCCCTCTGGGCTCTGGCCTTGGGGTGGTGGCTTGAGGGGCACCGGAGTACAGCGGGAGGCTGAGGTGTCTGGCATCAAGGCAAGCGGGGCCATTGTCCCTTTTCTGGGCCCTTCCCCCGCAGAGATGGCAGATTGGTGCCATTTCTGAGACTCCATCAACCTGGTTAACACTGCTTGACCTACGTTGGAGATCCGCAGAGATTCCACCCCACACAATTTATGGCTCACTCAGGTTGCTTTTCCATATGAATGGCTGATCTTGGCGCCAGCTGCACAACTCTCTAAGTCCTCTCAAATAAGCAACAGCTGGCCTCAGTGAATCCCAGGCCCAGCTCTAGCAGCAAACAGCCTAGATTCACAGCGTGATTTCACCTGGGAATCTCCAAACCCAGCACAAGTAGTAGCCATCTCAGATTGTTTTATAGCTTAGGCGGGGTGGCCCCAGGCAAAACAAAAGTGGGAACTGGCCTTGGCCTGCACCACCCAGGAAACCCCAGGGCCAGCGCACCCAGTGGACAGCTACAGACCACACTGAAGCACTACCACCCTGCCCCTACACAGCTGATCCTCCATGGAGGTTGGTGGTCAGTGGTCACAGCCAATCTTTGCAGCTGATTGGCCTGGGTAAATCCCTCCCATTGATCTGCCAACAACAACCGAGGCTTAACTACAAGAGGAGGGCGTACTCAGCCCACATGAAGGGTGCATCTTGAGCACCCAGCTTGGGTGATAGGGGAGACTGTGCCACTGGACCCTAAAAGAAAAAAGTGGAGGATATTTTTAACCCAATAAGATAATTATATTCTGGAATTGTATCCCATCAGAATCATTGCTACATAAAAATGGGAAAGACAAGGATTTTTCAGAATCAAATTCCTTCAAGTTATTAATGATCTCCCAAATATTGTATTGAATTCTTTACTTACCATTTAGGTGCAAAATTATGATATAATAGTGATGCATTTAAATGCATAATTATGGAAGTAACTGTGTTTCTGAAATGATTCATGCAAATACTGTCTGCATAAATAAATTATATTTTAAGGACACTGGCAGGGGGAGGAATGTAGGGCTCATTATGTGAAGAAACCCTTTCCCTAAGTCTTTTAGTAGAGCAAAGTGCCAGCTCTTAATTTTTCTGACTTCAAATTTCTGTACTGGAGCTATCTAACATGAAGGGACAGTTTACTTATGTAAATTAAACCTGTACCTACCTAAATGTGTGTATATACATTATCTATCTATCTATCTATCTATCTATCTATCTATCTAATATTAATAGGACAGGTGATTTCACCTCCCCCTTACTCAGAAAAGACAAGATGTCCTAGAAGGTGTGTGAGATGAGTAACATGAATCTACTCTTCCCTTCGTTGATCTCTGTTCCCTCGTGCACCTCATTGGATTTCTGATGTGTTGAGGCAATTATAATGTTTAGAAACATTATTTTTTGCTACATTTGCAAATGTAAAGCAAATCAAAACCACAACCAACACCAACAAAAACAAAACCCCAAACACAGATTGAAGCACCAGAAGCAGCATAAGGCCTTAGCCTAGGCTCTCTACTCTGGCACTTGGGCTTGGCTGTGGGGTTGTCCTGGTCCTCCTGGCCCCCGTGACTCCAGAAGGTCAGCTAATGCTTAGGACACACAGGGGCTGGGCTTACACTCTGTCCTGGATTTCTGGGAATTGCCTACCTTGGTTACCCTCCTGAAGGGTGGGGACTCTGTATGTAGGCAGAGAGGACCAGGTCTTGGGGTAGGAGTCTTCTGGAAGTGTTTGCTGCTGTTGGGTGAGAGGCTCAAGTGGAGGTGCTATAGTTCCTTTTGGTTTCCATCCAACAGGAACTGGTGAGGTCATTACAACATGCTCACATGCCCTGGTGTCTGCACCTCTCATCTCGTTGCCCGAGAGGCAAGGCTTCTTTGTATCTCCACACTTCCTCCTCCTGCCTTTGTTTCCTCCCTTCCAAGTCTATGGCTTTCTGAACCCAAAAAGCATCCGAAAGGCCCCTGGACATAAGCTTTGGAAGTGTGTCTGAGCAATGGGCAATGTGTCTACATGGCACAGTTTTCTGGGAACCACATGGTTATGTGTCCATTAATAAGTAGTTTTTTCAAGGCCTCAGAATAAGAGGATCTTCATATTTGCAGCTCCTTTCTTAGTTTGCCAGAAAATTGCTTCCCATCATATCATCTTGAAATGTCCTATTTAGCAGTGACAGATGTGTATAAAATCTATTCATGGCTTTAAACTTTATTAATATTGGCTAAGTACCTATGGATACAATCACTCAGTAGCATATGCATACACACCTACGTATGTAGACTATATTCTTTGAAGAAATAAAGGGCTAGGGACCGAAAAATGCCATTTGTGTAATTTCTACAAAACCACTAGAAAATGTATGAAGTGGATAAGCAGACAAAATGTCATTTTTTGAAAACTAGAGATGACTGATTCAAATGGGAGAAGGCTGAATTATATCAACTAAAATCATCCGTATGTTATGCCTTTCCCACTATTTATAAGTTGCTTCTGACCTCTTTATATTGCAAATGTTTAAAATTTAAAGAAACATCAAAAGCTTTGTAACACTCTGGGTGTTCTTTAGAACAGGGGCTCCCAAATGCTGGGTTTTCTAATGTGTGAGCCTGAAGTGAAGTTTTTATGAGTCTACAGCAAAATGAGGAAAGAAAGAAAATGTAAGTTCATTTGCCTAAAGCTAGACTTAATTAAATTAAAACGATTCTCTTCTCTTCACTTTGATATTTTTCTTATAGCCCTACTAGTCCATAAAACCATTTGGTCAATAAGATCTAAAAATACATGGTCACTGGGTAGAAAAATCTGATTTTGTTTCTTTGCTTTTATTTTGTTGTATAAGAAGAAAAAATAAAAATAATTCCAGGGGAAAAAACCAAAACATGAAAAACCTCAACTATTATTCTAATTCACAAGTCTCCTGCTGTTGTTTACTCAGAAGGTACAGAGCATCCACACAAACCAGGCACAAGGACTAGCTATACCTTTGGAGAAGACACTCAGTGATTTACATAACACACAAACCTTTTGGAGAGGCTTGAATTGGGTTGGGTTTCCCTTGGTTTGTGTCTGGGTCAGAACCTTCCAATTTCTGGTCTGAGCCAGCAACTCCTGCCCTGTTCTGGGTGCAGCAATCTCTAGCATCCAGGAAGGTGGCTCCTACTGCCTGCTGGAGAAGTCTAGGATCTGTATGTCTGGGATTTTGATCTGTGCACCCTTCGGACAATATTCTGTTCTCTCATAAGCTTAATGATTTCTTGGACAATAACACAAGAGGTCTTTTTTTTTTTTTTTTGGCTGTGCAAACAAAAGCAATTGATAAAGCACACCATGACCTAAAACCTCCCAGGGGGCACGACCATGGGACTCACCTTTCTGAAGTCACTCGTATCCTCTCATCATTGGATGAATTGAATCGATCATCCTTTTCCCTGAAATATTCCTCTATGCACTGCTCTTCAAAGTCATGCACTTTCTTGAGCTCATCATCAGTTATGAACAGCTCTGTGGAAAAGAAATGAGATATGAGGCAGAGGAGTAAAAGTGATGGCCTCTGGTCTGTGGGTCTAGTGACATTTCTAATCTCAAGCAAGGCTAGGAGAAGGGGTCTAGAATCTTTGCTAAGTCTCTAAATCTGAATCCAGTCAGGCAACTTGTGTCACTGTCCCTTTTCTGTGCGTTAGATTCACTATGGGTCCCTGAAGTTCATCTGGGTATATCTGATTTACTGCAGGCACTGGTTACACGTATTCGGGTTGTAAGGCCAAAAATGTAGCTAAAGTCAAGAAAGGGACGCAAACGGAGGTTTCTCAAAAGCTGAATTTTTGGGCTGAGGAGTATGGCAAACAGACACTGTTCCCTGGCCTTATTTAAAGCCCTTTTTCAACCTTGTTCCCTTAACCCCCTTCCTCTTACTGAGGGTGGAAAGCCAAATACACACATTGCCAGCCTCCCTGGAAGGGAGCAGTGATGATGAGACCTAGCTCAGCTCAAGAAACAAAGTAGTCTATGGGGAGAAGGGGTGGTGTATTGGGAAGAGATTTTGCTTTCCTGATAAACTATGGTGATGTGGTTGCTTCTTTCTATGGTGTTTTTTTTTTTTTTTGTTTTGTTTTTACCTTTCCCTTCTCTTTTTGCCTTAAATATAAATGTGATGACTGAAAGTGCAGCAGCTATTTTGCTGCCACAAGACAAGACAGTGCATTAAAGGAATGGCTGAGCCTAAAAATAGGACTCTGGGTGTTTGACTTCCGTGAGCCGCTGTTGTGCTCTGGGTTACCAACCTCGGCACTTTTTTGCTTCGTGAGAAAAATAAAACCTTGTTTATTTGTACTGTTAGTCTGGTTTTCTGTTAATAGCAGGCAAACTAATCTGTAACTGATCTGGGCATAGAAAAATGACCCAGTGTAAATTTGAACCTTTTTCCTCCCCACCCCACCCGCTTTCTATTTGTCTAAATTTATGTTTCAGAGGGAAATAGTGAACTTTGGAATTCCCTGCCCCTTCCATCTCTCCAATTTTTATGTTTAGAAGGAAGTCAGCATTGCTGTGTCAGGGAAGTTGTTAAAAGCTTCAGACTTAAAGAAACAGTTGATTAAATGGCTTTGGTTTTAAACCCACTAGTCATCACCTGGAGATAATTTCTGGGCCTTCATTCTAGAGGCTCCTTCAATAGATTTAGTGTAGGCGGTCTACTTGAGAAACCATTGTAGCTTGCTTGTATGGGGCTGGATGCCTAACGGTCCTTAACTGTGAGTGGTACCCAAGGGACATTTAGCAATCTGCAGGAGCTATTGGTTTTTAATGTGTGGAGGCTGGATGTGCTAAATTCCCTATAATGTGTGGGCCAATCCTATACAATGAAGTAGTGTTCTGCCCCGATGCCAACAGAACTTCCTTTTAGAAACACTGGACTAGAAGGTGGGTGGTGGAGGGTCTTCTGTTTTGCCCTTTGAACAATGGAAAGCAGGGCTGGTGTCCTCATGAAGTCAGATGAACATAACCCCTGAGGCTTGGAAAACATTCAAGACCTAAAAAAATGATTGCTCCAGAAATGATAATGGAAAATCAAACTTGGACACCTATAATTCAACTCAACTCACATAATGATGCTTACATTATATATAACGCAGCATTGGGAGCATCTAACTATAGTTGATATATTTTATAGTGGGACCTCTGGAAAGTAAGAAACTTAGAACCTATGGAGGTACTAAAACAGCCATGCTGGAGCCTGGCTTTATCTCACTAAGAAAGATGTGAGGCTAAGATTGCTTGATTTCGCTCTTTACTGTCTTCTTTCTGGCACTGTTTCTTAGGCAAGCATGCTGCCGTGTTCCCTTCCAAGTCTTCAGAGTTGTCAGCAGTGTGCAGGAAGCAGGAGGAACCAGGTGGCCACAGGTCCTCCAAGACTGCCTATAGGAAGTGGTAGGGCTATCTGATTTGTGGCTGCTGGGAGCTGTCACTCAAAGCTTACTCAGGCCGTAGTCCCTTTCATCTGGATCACTCTCATGTTTCCTCCATCGGCAACACAGGTGCTGGAATATCATGGTCATGTGGCTGAAGATGATCAGAGGTGGGGGCAGAACCGGCCTTTCATGGAAAGTCATGATGAGCTGATACCTCTGAAACTTCCACACTTGGTTGGATATTGATTTTACCTCAAAAAATGTATTGCTGAAATAGAGACCAGAAAGAATCAAGGTGAGAGACTCCACTGCTTTCTGGAGTACCACACCCCTCCAGCACCCTCACTTCACACCAAGCGCTCTGAAGGAGGACCCACTTACTTAAAGACAGCGATGAGGAGGTTGACCAGCAGGATGTTTGCTACTAAAAGGTAGCAGGCCATGATGGCTGGCACGATCCAAGCTCCTGTCTTGCAGGGAGGCAGCTGAATTATTTTACCGTCCTCTCGGGTCTCATTCTGTCCACAGGGAGCTGCAGGAAGCAACAGATGCAAAAAATGAGAAATCATGGCTATTTGATTAAAAAGGTCTGACTGAATGAGAAGGTTTTTTTTTTTGGATGGAGGAAAAATACAGCCATCTCAAAACAAACAGAAACAAAGGTTTTCTTTTAAAAAGTCAAAATGGAAAAAATGAAAGCTTCACGAATGTCCCAAGGGGCTGCTGTTACCCTAGGGGGGACCTGGTTCCTCGCATCTCCCAAGCTGTCAGCCAACTTGGAAGAGGTAGGCGGAGCCTCTAGCTTGCTCAGGCTGTCTCTTGGCACCTGGCTTTCTCTGAGGGGCATCCTTGGTGTCCTTAGGATGCCTGGTGAAGGCATTCCCAGGGAGCAGCGGCAGGAGCAGCGGGAGGAGCAGTCTCCCTGCCCCATCAAGTTCCTTTCAAGTGTGCTGTGGAGGCGGGAAGCCACAGCTGTAGGGGCAGCAGCACGGAGGGGCTATTGATTGGGAATTAATACCAGGCAGCTGTTAATTGCTGCCAGAAACAACCCAGGGCTCTGAGTTAACAGATTTGCTGTCTCAGTGAAGAAGGAACAAAACAGGGCAGCACCTTGGGAAGTATTTAGAAGCTTGTCTCTTGGTGCTCCTGACCAATGGCATTTCATGAAGTTGGGGTGTGGAGGGGGCAGGCAATGAGGGATGATGGGCCAGGACCCCTGAGCCTTTTGTCCGGCAACATTTCCATTCCAAAAATGTGCTTTTCAGGGCACAGGGGACAAAACTTAACTGCATTGAAAAAAAAAAAGGGCAAATGGAAAAATAAAGGATCTGGAGGTGAGGGTGAGGAGGAAGGTGATGTGTGGGACTGGGGAGTGTGAGTAATGTGCTAATGAGGCCTGCTTGGGGCTTCCAGGTAACGTCAAGGGGAAAAGGAATCCTTGGCAAAACTCCTCAGTGCTGCACAGACAGTACGGCTCAGGGAGGCAGACGATGGCCTTAGGTGCCCAGAGATAGGTGAGGTCCTTCTGCTGCTCTGGCTGTCCCTGTCCTTATTTGGCCTTAGAACAGGATCTTTTTGCAGCTATCTATAAAAAGGGGCGTGGGGGCATGAAGAGGTCTCAGCAGTTGCCATCGGCAGCTTTTGAAGATCTGCCAGGAAGGTTTGCAAAGTTGACCCATCTTTGGATCTTCTTGGCCAGAGTACCTGGCAAGGGGAGTCCATTCACGTCTCAAGAGTTAATGTTGCTAAGCTGAGCACTTTTCTGTAGTTTCCACCCCTGGCCATACCGAGGATCACTTGGGGAGCTTTAAAAAGCTGCCAATGCCTAGCTCCACCCCAGACAATTCAATCAGAATCTCTGAGGGTGGCCCGGGCAACACTATTTCTTTCAGAGCTGCCCAGGTAATTCTCAGCTGCTGCTAAGGTAAGCTCACTGAGCTAAAATCAGGCTGGAGAAGCTTTGTGATTTCTGACATGCCCTCAAGCCCAAAATACATCTTCTCAGGCTATGAGAGTTTTCATAATACCAGGACACCAAGGCCCGTTTTTTACAACCAGAGAAAGATGGCCAAAGCGCTGCCTTTGGATCTGCCTGCAAGAGGACTTGGTCTTGGAATCAGATGTTTTCAAAGAGCTGGCATCTTTTTTTTATATATCGGTAGTTGTGGCACTAACCACCCAAGGCAGCTATTCCTCGGGAGGAAAACCTGGTGATGGAGGCCCCCATTGGCTCCAGGACGCAGTCCAAACTCTGAGGGTGGCTGGCCCAGTGCCATCTCTTGCTACTTCCCACCTTTCCCTATGAGCTCAAACTGGACCAAGTTCCTTGTAGTTCCTAGAAATGCCATGCTGTCTCTTACTGCTTGATTTTTGAGCTTTGCTTCTTTTGCTTTTGCTCTGGTGCCTTGCTACCACTCCCATGAGTCACTTGGGTGAATGCTACTCAATTTTCAGTGCTCACTTAGCTCTCTGAAGCCAACCCCAGCTCACTTTCTGCCCCAGGGTCTGGGATAGGTATTGACAATGATTTTCTGTGGAACCAAACTCTACTCAGGCTCTTCTGAGCCCTTTTCCAAGTAGGTCTCAGCTTATGGACTTCTGTGTTTGTCTCTGCATTGTCCAATGTTAGCAAAAATCCTGCTAAGTCAGTTTAGCCAGAATCCTCAATATCTTACCACTGCTGATATCAAATCAGGTTTCTTATCCTCCATCATACCCCAGATGATGTCTGATCACCCTGCCTTCAACAAAAATCCTGTTTGTTCAGTTTAGCAAGAATCTCTCCTATTATCCTTGATGTTTCCTCTAAGCGATTTTCCATCCACTGATTACTATGCCCCTGGCTATAAGTTCCCAATTTTCCTTGCTGTGTTCAGAGTCGAGTCCAATCTCTCCCTTATTACAAAGCCCCATTGCAGTGGTCCCACTTCATTGAATAAAGTCTTCCTCATCATCTTTAACAAGTGTAATGAATACTTTTTTTTTCTTTACCAAATAATGTTTCTTTAGTAATTCTATCTTCCTTATAATCCCAGAGGCCCCCCTGCTTACCCCTTCGGAAAACTTCCCACGCCATGTCACCATTGCCAATGTACTCATCTGTGTCCCACCCGAGATTCCCAGTGGGAAAACTGCTCTCTCTCGATTCCTGTTACATGACTCAGTGCACACACACAACATATCCACATGTACCCACACATGATCACTGTTTGGTTATGAATAAAGGAGATCATTGGACACATTTGGTTGTTGAGCACTGACAGACATTTCCCACAGCTCTGCAGGCCTACTCATGAGGGACAGACCTAGCTCTGAGCTGTTGTTGGCTCCTTCTTTAGTTCCTTTCCAGAAATCCCACCCTTGGCTTGGCAAGGAGCCTTCTCACTCTCAACCAGACTTCAGAGTCTCTGTTACCCCCTGGGCCACGGACCTCAAGGAACCACTTGCTTTGCTTTTCTCTCCTCAGGGTAGCTTGCTCCACTCACCCACCCCGTCCTCCCAGCTGACCTTCTGAGGGGCTGTCACTCCTGTGCTGCCCTCTCCTCTGACGCCTGCTCAGGTTTCTGTGGGGAAACCGATAAAGGGAAGCAGAAAAAACTGCTGGGGGTAAGTTACAAAGTGCACAGTTTAGGCAGATGTGGTCCCTGATCTCCATTTCTCAATGCCATTCTGAGAATTCTCTTTACATTCTGTGAGAATGTAAAATAAACTTTTGAGGGCAGACACATCCATCTTGCTCTTTTGACCCCATATTTAGTGAAACACACAGACACTTCCTCCACTAAGGCCCCCCTTCTAGCCTAGAGAGGAAACCATGTTTCGTGGCCCACACGCATTTCTGTGGGCCTTTGGGTAGTGTCATCAACATATCTTTCTAGACCTCTGCTTGGTTCCTCTGCTTCATTCCTCGAAGGCCCCTCGTGGTTAAAACATTGGCCCAGCTTTAATACCTTTGCACAAGATTTACTTTGGTGAGGGAGCTCCCTGCTGATCATTTGGGCATTACTTTATTTTGGCTTCTCCCATACTGTTTATACATCCTGCCTGTAAAGAGATGGTATTACTTTAGTGGTTAGAAATATGCCTTATAATCAGGCAGACCTGGGTTCAAACCCTGAGTACACCATTTTCAAATGATGAGACATTAGCTTACTTCATGATCTTCAGCTGCCTCATCTGTAAAATGGGTGTAGTAATACTATGAAACTTGGGAGGAGGTTGTCAAGATCATTAAATGAGATAATGCATGCAAAGCACTTAGCTCTAGATACTCTAGCACATTAACACTTGATTAACTTTAGCTGGTGCCATCCTTAGTATTGCTACTTTTGCAATGACTAGACTTTGTTCCTCAAGGTTAGGGACTACGTCTGATTCCTCTTTGTTTTGCAATCACTATGCATAGCACTTATTCTCTAAACATTTAGTGAGTGGTTATAATAGGCTGGGTACAGGGGGCAATGGGAATCAAAGGGACGATCCCTGTTGTTTAAGCACCTCGCAGTTTAGTAGGGGGCAAAGAAAGGGGACAGAACACAGTATTATGGTATGATGTGAGCTCTGTTGGGGCTCTGAGAAGCACTGCAGAACGGCTGCAGGCCCTCTGGCTGGGATCACGCCGAACAGTCTGGTAGTCAGGACCAGTCTTGAGGACCATCATCTAGATTCTACAGCAAGTGCAGTACAAATGAATTAGGTGATCCTGGTGACAGTGATAATGATAATAAAAATGACTCACTGAGCAATAGCCTTCATTTGGTAATATCAGCAAAGAGGCAGTGAACATTATATGCAGCAGTTACTGCAAAACACTGTTCTATAATGGCTGCTAATGATGTCCTTGTTCTGTGTATTTATCTGCATTAGAAAGTGCTCTGTCTCAAACTTACAGATGTCTACCATTGATGAGAAGAACTGGGTGATTTAAAGCCCTGACAAGCAGCAGATTTCATGATGAGGGATGTTACTAGGTTGTCATGAGGCACCAACCCAGGTCTGTGGTGCATGTTCCCAGGAAAACACTCCGTGGCATACCCACCCAAGATGACACATGGGTGGATGTTTAGGGGCATGTGGGCTGGTAGCTACCACTGTGGCTCCTCCTTCCCTGCTTGGAACCTGACACTTGAGCGGTTATTTTCCCAATGATTTTGCAAGAAGTAAATGAATAGTCACTATCACCTTCATACTGTCACCTTTGTCTACCTTGTTAATGATGCAGAGTGCCTCTAGCGGATGTTTGCCGGTTCCACCTGCCCAATATACATTTCCCCTTCTCTGGTAAGAGCACCCTGGCTTCCCTTTGTGGAACCATCCCTGCCCCACTCTAAGTCCATGAAGTTTGGGTGAAATGAACTCCAATTCTGCACCTTGGAGATTAATCAGTCTGCTTTATCCCCAGTTGTATCACTTGGTTCAGAGATGGACATGTGACCTTAGCTTGAGAAATCAGAGCCAATGAACATCAGCCTGGGGAGTCTTGCTGGAATTGGTATAAAACGGGTATCTTTTGACAATGCGATATAATGCTAC